AATGATGATGAGCTTGTTCGTGATATGTATTCTCGTTTGAATCTAATTATCAATGAGCTCAATTCTATAGGATTGACAAAGCTAGGTGATGTGGACATCGTGAGAAATATCATCTCCGTGCTACCACAAAAGAAATATGCAAGCATCATCACCATCCTTCATAACTTGGAGGACTTGAGCACCATGACCCCGGCCATTGTGATTGGCAAGATAGTGGCATTTGAGATGTCACGCAAAATATGTCAAGAAGAAGCCTCTTCATCAAGCAAGGGTAAAGCTCTCGCATGTAGTGAGAAAAGGAAGATGAAGGGCAAGAAAGTTGAGTCAAGCTCAAGCTCAAGCTCAAGCTCCTCAAGTGACCCGGGGCTATCCACAGAGTTTCCTGACCGGGAGCTTGGCCCTTGCGAGGGGCTCCAACGAGGACTAGGGGAAGCTCGAGCGCTTCTCGATACCTCAGTAAAAATACCGGAGTCATCGACGGGAGTTTGCATCTCTACCTCATCTTTAGCTTCCGCATTTACATTGTTACCTAGGTTGTGTGCTTTACTTTCCTAGCTTAGTTGATAGGATTGGAACTTAGGTTGCATAACTCTTTTATGGTAGAGATAGCAACACATTAGCAAAACCATAGTTGCACATTTAGATAGATCACTTTCTTGCATAGGTTTTGCTAAGGTGAAATTAGAGGCCATAGTTCATAGAGAATAAATTTTAAGTTGCCTAATTCACCCCCCCCCCCACTCTTAGGCGTCACAAGTTCCTTCACAAGCCAACCAGAAGACCTAGGCGGGGATGTGGGGGCTAAAAAAATATCAGTACCAGCCAAGACTGGCACTTGAGTTCCATCAGAACTCTAACTCGACCCTCGCTTACAGCCAAAGACAAAAAGAAGATGAGTCATCAAAAGAACTCGGGACAATGCAAGATAATAAAGGATAGGCACTCTAACTACTCACTAACAAGTAACGAGGGTCACACTATCGTCCTCATCCTCATCCTCGAGGATCTCCACCGCATTGCCATCTGATTGAGCAGATAACCAAACAGCAAGATTGAGCAGAAGAAACAAAGAAGGAAACTACTCACGAAGAAATAACAAAAACAACTTACAAAAGGGGGCGGATTCGTGGAGGTGTACTCCTTGACTTGGAGAGGAGCAACACTTGCATCCTTCAAGATTTTGCAGAGGCATCCCAAGACCTCCTCCTCCGTCAGCTCCTGTGTAGGAACCATCCGGGATGGGTCCTCCGCTCCGGCATACTCAAAGCCATACCTCTCCCTCGCCTTCAGAGGCTACACTCGGCGACGGAGGAAACTGGCCACAATACCGAAGCCAGTCAAGCCCTGCTATTTCAAGACCTTGATCCGCTCAAGGAAAGGCTTAATCTTCTTGAGGTCTTCTGGCGACAGAGGCTGCTTCTTCCAGCGGTCATTCACAACTGGACCGGCATCCGAATGCACTGCGAGGGGAGGGGCCATGTTCCTAGCATAAAACCACTCGGATTGCCAGTCCTTAACCGAGTCAACCAGATTGTACTCAAAGAACTCTTTCTGCTTACTTTGGTGAAATTGGATACCACAACCACCTAGGACAGAAGTATTATCACTCCAGGGGTGTTGTTTCAAACGGAAGAGGTAGCGGAATAAGGAGATAGAAGGGAGGATTCCATGAAAGGTTTCACAAAAATGAACGACATAGAAAGATGAAGAATTGCATTTGGGGTCAAATGGTTTAAAGAAATATCAAAATATCGAAGGAATTGGTGGAGAAAAGGAGACGCTGGGAGGCAGATTCCAGCGTGGATGATGGATATGAAGAGAACGATCTCACCAGGACTGAGGGAAGGAACCCGGTGCTCGCCAGGAGTCTTTCACTCAACAAAACCCTGATCCTGGATCAAGCCATCGCTGACCAACTCCCTCAGTTGATCCTCCGTGGTGCTTGGAGCGGGCCAGACCTTCTCCGTGGCCCTCATGGCGATGAATTCTTGGTCCTCGATCACCTGGAGCACCTCCTCCTCATCCACTAAGATGGCCTTCAACTTGCTGGACGAACCTCTCTTCTTGCCCATACACTAGATGATGCTCTCCTCTCATAAAACAAGACGGCGACGGCGCGTGAGCAGTGGCAGCACTCGAATGGCGTCGACGGCGGTGGTCGAGCTCTGAGAGGGGATTAGGATTTGGGAGACCGATGGCGGAAGGCAAAGAGCAAGTGAAGAGGAGAAGAAGGGAAAGAAATTGTTTTTATAACAGTAAAAACATGGCCCAAATGGCCCGTTAAGCCAACAGATCGTTTCCACCTTTTGCGCATTGAATGTAGGATGTGACCCAAGCGACAGATGGCATGCCTTTTCACAATGGAATAGTGCAACGGGCAGATTTCAGACTTATCTATCCACATAAATTGCTGCCGAGTAGTTTCAACCTGGAATGCTCAGAAAAAACTCAGCAATTACAATACAGGCAAAGAAGCTTCAGAAACAACCCATAAATCATTCAGAAGTTCTCGGGTGGATGCAGAAGACAGCGACTCCAAGCAACAAGATTTTTCCAATTACAAATATCTTCAAGGGAACTAGGATTATAGACTTTACAAGACCCATCGAATTCGAAACTACGACGAACAAAGATAGCAACAAGGAACCCAGTAGAATTCGGCTCTAGAAATGACTACGTGCTCCTAGTTGCTACTCGGCAGAACACACTCTACATGGCTACACTGTTTTCTTCAAAGAAAGAGCGCAGTGCATCCAAGATTGGTGTCAACGGCACAACAGGACAACATGGATCAGGGGAGGCTCACATGCATCAGTCTACCTATGTCCGATGTGATGCTGGATCATGTGCTGATCTGCACCTGACAATCGCGAGGCAGAGTGGAAGGATCAACCCGGAACTGCTAGATGAGAGAACATATCCCACATCATAAGACTTCTTCCATCTGCTAGAATGGACTACCTAGCACAATACCGCTGAGAGATTAGTCTACCTCTAACCTCTATCACAAGACTTCTTCCATCTACTACAAGTAGTACAAGATTCCAACTCACGCCGGGGGGCTGCTCTACTTCACAAACCAACGTATTCATGGCTATAGACTTCAAGCTCAACGCCAGGACTTCATTGATTTGCAACAGCTCACCAGAAGGGTATTTATAGACCTAGAAGCGGTGCACATGGACCAAGTTCAAACAACAGATTCAACCTGACAATCAACAAGAAAAGGAGCAGAACAGTGATAGCAAGTCATAAAGGCAAAGTGAACGCATGTGAAGGCACAGTGCACAAGGACAGTATATCCAGACGAATATTCCAACACTGTGCAGCCCATGACTGAGCTGCATTTACAGCACAACGGCCACCTACCACCTACCTTTGACAGACAGACTACCTGAGGATACAACAAAAGGACCCTCTGTCCGAGTTCTTTCTATTCAAAAGAACCCGGATATATGCGGGATCCACAGGATTCCTCATCGGTACGAGTACTAGTGGTGGGTCTTAGCCTGGCCCACGTACCTGACAGAAGAGGCGAGGCAACAAGTGACGCCGATTCCGAGTAGAATAGGACGAACTAGCCGGATTTCCTAATAGAAAGTACCTTCTGCAATTAGATCAGGACACCTTCTTAGGAATCCGACTAGAACTGTAATCGCACCATAGCCGTCTTTCCCTATATAAAGAGAGGCTATGGGCACCCCTAAAAGGGAAGAACAACACAATATATCAATCAATCCAACGCAAAAGGCTAACGCCGACTAGACGTAAAGGCCATTACTCGATCACGGTCGAGGGCCCGAACCAGTATAAATCGACCGTCTCTTGCGTTCACCGTTGAGTTCCGCACCCGTCGAAACCTGAACAACTGTCCCGGGTACCCCCGTGACAGGCTATCGGTGGTAAAACATTGACAGATCTGGATGTTACAGAAGTAGATCTGGATGTTGCATAACATACATGTTGCAAGTGTTTTTTTAAGTGTTTCAGATGTTTCATGCATATGTTGTAAGTGTTTTATCTGGATGTTGCAGATGTTTTACAATGGCTACGCACATGTTTTCAAGTGTTTCACGTGTTTTTGCAAGTGTTTCAGATGTATGTTGCAAGTGCTTCATCTGGATGTTGCAAAAGTAGATCTGATGTTGCACATGTTGCAATGTGACCCACCTGCCACAGTCGTTTGCTGCAGCTGCTGGGCGTCGTGCATGCGCGTGGGAAGCAGAGGGGGATGGCGGTAGGGGCGTAGGTGGTCCCTGCGTGCGCGGGGGAAGTAGGGGAGCGGCACCGTAGGTCTGGAGGCCGGAGGGGAGCGACACAGTAGTAGCAGGAAGCATGAAAGTGCGGGGGGAGCGGCGTGGGCGATCCCTGCCTGTACGTGCAGTAGGCGCGGTCGTTCGAACGCGCAGTAGGCGCGGTCGTTCGGACGCGCACGTCCGTCCGGATGTCCGGGGGCTAGCACTGCCGTATTTTTTTTTTATTTTTACATGGTATATACTACTACAATCCATTATGAAATTTATAATACTCCGTATGTTGCGTGAGTGTATTTTGGAAATTTGGATATTGTTGTTCCGTGGTGTGTTTTGGATTGCTCATATACTATCCATCAGATGCTGACTTTGGGACGTTGCATGTTAGATTGTTCTGATGATTTTCATTACATGTTCCACGTGTGTTTTGGATTTGTCGCATATTATTCACGAGATATTTCTTATGAATTATGACATCTTGTGAATAGTGCAGGTACAATCCAAATTACGCCACGTATTGTTGAAGCGAAAAACTACCAATTTTCTTCAGTTTCAGTCTAATGATGATGTCTTGGACAGAAGTGACTTTGGGCAATGCACAACGGAGAGTATCAGACTATCAGTTGTATACTTGTGCCGCGCGGATTGTTGATTGGTTTGACTCATTGACTGTTACAGCAACCAAGGGGGGCCACCTGTCACTAGTCCACCACCACGATGGCGGCGGCCGCGCCGGCGGCTAGCCGGCTAGTAGTGCGGCGACGCAAGTGCTCCAACGGCGCGCGTCGTGGTTCTGGGCGCCACCGCTCTCGGCTTGGTGCCGCAGAGGAAGGCGAGGATGGCGTCGGAGCCCCTAACGAGCCGGTTGCACAGCGCGCCGATGAGCATCCCGGCGACGGGCGCGACGAGGTAGATCCAGACGGAGGTGTACCTGCCGAGTACGATGGCCGGGCCCAGCGTCCTGATCGGGTTCATCGACCCTCCGGACACCGGCCTGGATGGATCGGATGCACAGCACAACTCGTACGTTCAGCAATGCAACACAGTGGCAGTCGCAGTGGCACTGGCACTTGCACTCTCTGAAGAAACTGAGAGTTTTTTTTTTAAAAAAAATTACCCGATGACGAGACCCAGGGTGCCGACGGCAGCTCCGATGGCCAGCCCTCCTGCTGTCTGATTCTGCATTAATTTGCCATCAAGCATCAACCAAACGTTCAGATAATGAGCACACGAAGAACACAACAAGTTAACTGAAAGAAGGGATAATAAGGACAGACGGAGCCTCTGGCAGCGGTGGCGATGACGATCATGAGCACCGCGGAGGCGACCAACTCGAGCAGGAACGGCAGCCTAGTGTGGCCGCCGGCCATCATCGGGGCCGTCCCGTAGAAGTGCTCCTCCCGCGGCTCCATGACGCCGTTCACCGACACGCAGGCGAGCAGCGAGCCGGCCATCTGCGCCACCACGTAGAACGGCAGCTGGGGGCGCACAACAAGATGGATGCAAAGCTCACTATTATATATGCAGAGTACGTACTATTTACGTTGGCTGCGAATCTCCGGCGATGCGTGGATGGACAAGGCCTGCCAATGTACCTTGGCCCACGAGAGGTAGCCGAAGACGGTGAAGGTGAGGGTGACGGCGGGGTTGAAGTGCGCGGGGCCGAGCCAGCAGAGCACGAAGCCGACGGTGAGCGCGACGACGAGGCACACCATGGGGAACGTCAGCGTGCCGTGCATCTCCTGCATCAGCGCCGCCACGGCCGACCAGAACACCAGCAGGAACGACGCCACGCCCTCCACCATCAACTATATACCCAACCATGCATCAAGTACAGTCGAAAGAAGGAAAAAATGAGAGAGCTGTTAGACACGACATGGCGCCCCGCCAGTTAATCTTACGGTTCAGTTCTATATGGTCGTTAACTAGATTATTACTGTCGTTGTAGTATTAGCTACGGAAAACTGTGTACCTCCCGTACGAAAAGCCCGATGGCTAGGCCTCTGCTCACACCTTCTGCAGCGGCGGCCGGATCATGATCACGGCAAGACCGCTCTAAGTCCTGCCCGTTCACCTCAACGCACTCGCTGCCGGCGAAGTCTTTCTCCGCCATTTCGCCGCTACTAACTACTGTTCTTCGTTCGTGGGCGATGAACATGCACGGATTTGGACCACTGTTCTATGTTATATATGTAGAACAGCTGAATGGCAGGAGCAGCCGTGGTTCTAGCACGAACGCACGGGCACACACTCTTGGCGTGCACAAACTGAAGAAGCTTTGCGTGCTCCCCGAGTTCTTGTCCGGTCAAACCAGAAGCCGTTCATCGGTTCAGGACTTTCAGGTAAAAAAAAAAAAAAACTGCGCATGAGTCTGTCTGTGTCAGCCGCCGACCACAGCTCACCTGCTTCTCCTTGAGCCTTGAAGTATTCAACTGTTGGTAAATACGCAGTGCGATCTGATGGCGATGCAGTAATGGCAATTGACAACACCTACACTCGCTCCTCCTATGTCGATTGCCGTTGCCGTTTTATAAAGACGATTAATTAGTATAATAAACCGCAGTAAAGTTGCTGTGACGATGCCGCAAGCAGAGAGCATTTCCATCCGTCCGTCACGTCCGAAAGAGCTTTTGTTCCCTTTAGCAGAGAGAGGTGCAGCTGACGCAGGCAGCCTTCCTTCTGAAGCCGTCTGCGTGTCTGAATGCTGTCGGGCACTGGGAAAATGCAGTGCGAGCAGCTGAATTATACTATTCAGCGATGGACGCGGAGCGACCGAACGAGGCGGCTCCGCACGCGGAAGCTCCCACGCCCCCGACGTCCCTCGGACGTCCGATCAGCCGGTGGATAAGATTAACAAAAGTACACCACACAGCATGATCAGGGTATGATGGAAAAGAGAGGCATCGATCTATCGATCCATCTCCCTTTGGCACGGAAATAAAAGATGCGATGGTCGGCTGGCGGTAGATGCATCTCTCGCGCGTGTGGTCAGATTAGCCATGATCACCAGCTTCAAGAATGAAACAATCAATGGCCATGATCACAGCCTAAAGAAAACAAAAGGCCCCGCCAATGAGACGAGAGCTTTCCACACACAGCGAAAACGATGCGTTACTATTGGCGCGCTTTTTGGAAGCTGGAAACTGCATTATTTGAATGAAACAGTGTAAAAGACGAAACTGAAAGAAATCTGTCTAGCCACCATACTATACGAAGTTTCAAATTTTTGTCAGAGAGCTGAAAGCCTGAAACAAAGGTTAACCTGGTCAATTCCAAATGATTCGCGCATGGAGCACGAGACACGGCTCCCGACTTTCAGAATTGTTTACACAGGAAGCAAAGCACAGCCACAACTCAGAGAGTCTGAGAAAAACGGTGAACCACACCAAGACAAACAAAGCGTATCCAGTCAGGAATGAGAGTGTAGGACCCGTGGCCGCCGGTGATCGCCGGCGACGTGAGAGAGACAGGGATGGCACGTCGGATTCGGCCAACGGAGCAGAGGAACCTCTCGCTCGCGTTTTACTGTCTTAGTAATAATAAATTCGATGTCTTGCTTACAACAATAGTTCAGAATATAAGGCACTTGGCCGACTGACTAGATGACCCCACAAGTCATACTCTAGCTATTACATAAATGATAGGAGTACGTCTTCTCCTCTGAGCCGCGTACCGCCGAAGGTTCTGCTTGACCGACATTGTAGTCTTCCCAAGTGGCAGACGAAGCTGGGAACCCTGTCCATGTGAGCAATACCTGAGGAACAGTATTGTTACCTTTCTTAACCAGGCGACATTTCAGGATGCGTTCTGGGACAGCAGCTGTTGCCTCCAGATCTGTGACAGCAGGTAGAGTAGAGTACACAGGTGTGTGATCCTGGTGAAATGCCTTCAGCTGCGAAATGTGAAACACAGGGTGTATAGCACTGTCAGCAGGTAATTGCAAACGATATGCCACAGGTCCAATCCGTTCCAGAATCTTGTATGGCCCAAAAAACTTGTAAGATAGTTTGGGAAAGGGTCTGTTGGCCACTGAAGAATGGGTGTATGGCTAAAGGCGCAGCAACACAGAATCTCCCACACTGAATTGCTGATCAGTTAGGTTTCTGTCTGCAAACACTTTCATCCTATTCTGAGCTTGCTCTAGTCTGGTCTTCAGGACTTGAAGATGGAGTGCTCTATTCTCAATGAGCTGAGTGATTGAGATAGATGTATCAGGTGACGGTGTTGCTACCACTCCTAGATCAGGATCATAGCTGTCACGGAACCGTCTAAATTATAAGAGCACAAGTACAAAAACGATCACCGAAGTGATCAATTTGTCATACTTGAACCCATATAACTCCGGTAGTCTAACGAAATCATGAGGGATTTCCATCCAACCAACATACAAGCTAAGATCGTAGTGATTCAACACAACACATCACCTGTTACAACATTTCACAAGTAGCTTGCAGAAGCTCACATACATCGGAGTTCAATTAAGTTATTACAACCCAAGTTTGAAATAGCGGAAGCGACAAAGTTTCAAAATTACAACACTAGTAGTTCAAATACGTGGCCAGTCCATAGTCATATCCCACAAAAGCATTTCATAAGAGAAACTAGCAGACTATACCCACTGGTCTAATCCTCATCCTCAGCAGGGAGAAGACAGTACTTGCAGCAACCATTATAAAAGATGCCATCTGCAACAAGAGGTAAATAAACCCTGAGTACGAGAATGTACTCAGCTAGACTTAGCCGTCGTAAACCAGAAATAAAAAGACGCCAAGGAGTATGCAAGGCTGATATATAAGTGAAGCTCGCTTGACAACATTTTGCATAAAAGTTTAAGTAACATAAGTAATCTTTTATCGCTTAAGCATCAAGTTAATAATCATTAACCTGTCATCTAGATTGGCACCTGTTCTATGGCAACCACTTGATTAAGGAGCAAACATTAATAACCATATCAGGTATAATAAGGCCATCATCATTATCATCATTTCTGAACCATCAAGTCAATTAGTGTGACTACAATGGAGATACTCCCATCAAGTTTCTCACTAACCGAGAGAGACGACAACTCGAATCGATTACTACCCAGCTAGGGAATTATTCCTAACACAAATCCATGACTTCCTCCGTCGATGAGCATTAGGTCACCTTTGGTACAACTCAGGAATCGCAGGTCCGATCAGCGCCGCACTCTCAGGGATACCATGCCACCAGGTCATTCAGGACTTTTAAACACATGCCCATGGACACTAGCAATGGCTCCCCTCCGAGGTGCACTTTCACTTACCGGTTTCCGGCCTGAGTGGAGCTACTAAGCTTCGCGGTCGGTTCATCAGATCCGGCCAGCTAAGTGAGAGGCATGCGTTCAAAATGACAAGAAAGGCTCCATGCCTCAGTCCTTAATCGACACGGACGGAATCACTATAAGCATAATAGCCCACCTATAAGACTCCGCCCGGTCTTCATTCATTTTATCCATGGTTCTTTTCCACGATAGCAAATATAGCCAACCGTGACCAGATAGATCCCTATATCTCGCAGGTGATAGGAAATCACCCGACTTCTACCGTGAAAGCATCTAGGGACCTAGTGGTTTCGATGATTAATGACAACATAAGATTATTATGACTAACGTGTGTTTTGCAGAGGCAATTTGAGTTAGGTCATGATAATGGTGATTGATTGGGCAACCAATGGTTTTCATGCCCCTATCGATGGAATCGTTTCAATTTTCAAAGGATGGATGATAAGGTTAAGGACGATCTAGTTCTAAGTGTCGTTTGGTATTGAGAGGCACTTAGAGTAGATTAGGACTTTGTTTTTTCTTTGACCATACTATAAAGGGGGGTATGAGCGGGTATGTTTGGTTGTGGGGGGTATTTATACTTTTCCCACTCCTCTAATATATCTCTCTTGCTCATTTGATCAGCTGAAGAACACCTTTGAGTCCAAGGGAGAGCAAGTGCCTAGTGAGGAAGTTGTGATTTGATAATCTCAAGATTAAGGACCCCATTAGTGCTTTGAGAGTAGCAAGTGTGCATCCACTCATCTCATTAGGCTTGGTTGGGTCAAGTAAGAGTTTGTGCTTGTTACTCTTGGTGATCGGCGTCACCTAGACGGTTTGATGGTGATTAGGAGTGTGGTGATCATCCGGTGGAGCTTGTGGATGACCCAACTCGACTTGTGAGCGGTTGTGGGAGATTCACCGAGCCGGAGTGGCGAAGAATCAACATGTAGAGAGCACTTGATCCTTGCACGAATAAGGGGGAGCCATACCCTTGCGCAGGTGCTCCAACGAGGACTAGTGGGGAGTGCCGACTCTTCGATACCTCGGCAAAACGTCGTCATGTTCCTTTCCTCCCTTTACTTTGTGTATTTACTTTGAGCAATTCATTTCTTGTCATTACATTTATAGAATTGACTTGCTAGCATAGGATTGGAACTAGGTTGCAAAACTCTTTGTGCCGTAGAACAATAGCACACACTTTTAGGCACTAGGGGTGAAGTGGGCTTTGCTTAGGACTTAATTATTGTGAAATTTTTTAGAGAAGCCCAATTCACCCATCTCTTGGGCATCTTGATCCTTTTAATTGGTATCAGAGCAGAGTGCTCTTCGAATTAGGCTTAACCGCCTAGAGCAAGATGTCCCATGGAGATAGACCCCCTCTCTTCTTTGAAGGAGACGATTTTCCTTATTGGAAAATTCGTATGAAGGCATATCTAGAGGCTTTAGATGTTGGAGTGCTTAGAGCCACCATACAAGGGTTTCCAAAACCTAAGGATCCCACAAACCTTGTTGGTGATGAGATTCACTATGAGAAATGGAATGCAAAAGCCAAAAACACCCTTTTTAGAGGTCTTTGCAAGGATGTGTTTAACCGTATTCGGAACCATAAGGACGCCCATGCACTATGGTCGGATATTTGTGCGCTCCATGAGGGAACTAAGAGTGAGCGTGAGGAACGTTATCACCTTATCATGAGAAAGTTAAACTCTTTTGAAATGCTTCCTAATGAAAGTGCTAATGAAATGTACTCTCGCTTGAATGTCATTGTAGAAGAAGTCAATGGGCTTGGGCTCACACAATTGCAACCATCCGATGTCATGAGAAAGATC